AGTGGTTACAGACAATATGACAAATCTCTTTTTTTTGACAGCTCGGATAGGGGATGTGACAGTTGGTATAAATCGCCATCCCTGAAAGACTGTGTAGGACAAATGACATTACGGATAGGGGATGTGACGGTTGGTATAAATCGCCATCCCTGAAAGACTGTGTAGGACAAATGACATTACAGATAGGGGATGTGACGGTTGGTATAAATCGCCATCCCCGAAAAACTGTGTGGGACAACTGACATTATGGATGAGGGATGTACCAGCTGACTGAAGAATATTTTGTCTTTACCGACGAGCAGCGAAACGGGGACACCCCGGCGGCAGCTATGACACTGGCAGCGTATTCGGTCCTTTTCTTGCAGCGCCCCGCGATATTAAAAGCGTAACGAAAAAGAAGTGCAAATAAAAGAAAAAACAAACCGGTAATAGCGCGACAAGTCGGGATACCTCACTGGTTCCTTGCCATAGCCAGCTTCTACCCATCCCTGTACTTCTCTCCCGTAAAAAGGAAATAATAAATCAAGGAAATTGTACACCATTCCCCCCGAAGGTCCGAATTTTTATTCTAAATTTTCTTGCAACGAACCTTGGAGTGACTGAGTTATACCCCGCCCAAGAAAACTCGTTAATGATTTTTTTGTATTGTTAACTTTTGTATTGATGATTTAATATAAATTATGCTATTATAAGCTCAATGCTTAGTCATAATCTGTTTAGCATATAAGTAGTGAATTTTCCAAAATAAAGTAAGCATTATTATACTAATCATACTCTGACTTGCTTTTTATATCGTTTTCGTACTCTTTCAACATACGAGAAACTCCGGAATGCGCAAGTTTTCCATTCCGCGAAAAGGTGTATTGAAAATTTGTCGTGTGCATAGCTACTTTGCGATAGAGCTTTATGATGTTTATATGCTATGCTGTATGCCAAAAACTTCTTTTTTCATTTTTTTTTATTTTCTTTTCTGTAAGGTGTTTCGTTTTAGGAACATGAGGGCCTAAGTTATGTTTATGTGAAATGCATTCGCACGCAAATTTAATTTTTTAAGTATTTAAATATCAGAAATATACATGAATATTTCTTGGGTTTCTAATGCAAGTTATTGATTAAAGCCAAACAAGCAAGCAAGCAATCACTTGCTTTATGCGCTTGTATATGCCTGCGTTGACTACAAACACCATACAGAAAAATTTTCAGCTGGTTAATTATATAATTGGTTCTCACTTTTTTTTACTCTGCAATTTTGAACTGACTCTGCCTGAGCCTAGTATTCCATGAGAGTTCGTGAGGCTCGTTGTCTGTACTGTTGCCGTCCGTTAATCCGTATCCCATATCCCTTTACCCCCACTCAAACGCACACCCGCCTCATTCCCCGCCTTAGATACCCCTGTAGACTGCTTAATCAAACATCGTTTCTCTTTTTTTTCTCTAAGAATATTATGGCTTCAATTGGACGTATTAAATTAATACATATGCTAAACATTAATAATAATAAAACATATGTACTTAGTTTAATTCAATATAATCAATAATACAATTAGTACTGAGCCAGTGTCAAAACAAAATCCCCACTTTCTTCACTCTTTTTTTTTTTAGGTTAACAATTTTTATCACCAAAAAAATGAATAAAGATAGCTCTTTTTTTCTTTTTAAATTTCTCTCTAAATTTCTTTGGCGAATGCTCTAATTATATAAGTTAAGGACCATCTTAACAAAAAGTATAAGTTAAGGACCATCTTACCAAAAAGTATGAATTCACGAACCATTCTAATAAATAAAATAAGCAAACGCAGCATTTCATAAAACGAATACATTGTAAACACTTCTCACCTATCTCATATCACCCCTACAATAAATACTTATGACCAATCCCATATTGCACCTTACAATAGCCAGTCCTCACCAATCTCATATGAACATTACTCCGTTTCGATAAAAGTGTTGACTGCCGATTATTGGACAACCCAAAGGTTTCCTATAAGGTAGCTCGTTAAAATTAAATCAGTTCATTACCAGACATCAATAGCATTAGCATTCTAATTTTTTTAAATAAATATAATGCGCCTGAGTGGCCGAGTAGGCAAAAGTCTCGACTAGCAAATTAATGGTCGTGGCTCCAAATATCAAGCGCGGTATAGTTTTTAATAAAGCCGAAAGCCTTAGATGCTAGTGCTTTAAGACTTTAGTCTTAGAATTTATTCTCTGGCTAAATTTATAATAATAATAATAATAATAATAAATAAAAATAAATGTTAAATAAAATTTAAATAAAAATTTGTCTCTTCATAAAGGATTCATAAAGAATTAAATTGTGTTTTCAAGAAACCCAATCAATAAATAAAAATATATTTACATACTTAGCTTCTTTATTTTCCTACTTTTCCCTTTGATAAAAAATTGCTTTCCACATTGCTCAAATCCACAGTAGGATTTTTTCGTCAGACAATTAACATTAGCTTCGCCCTTTTTTCTCGCCTTTTCTCGAATGTTCACTTTCGGACCTCATCATTCTTTCTGCAATTGTTTAAATTTTCCTTTTTTTTTTGTCTTGTGCCATGTATTCAATGAAATTTAGAGCTTTTTTGTACATATATATATTTTCCAAATTACTAGTTTTCCAAAAATGACACAAGTAGTCGTTCGAAGAAAAAATCAGCAAAAATTTTCTTGTCTTCTATTCTCCTACTTACACATATTACGAGCCGAAAATTTTGTTAGAATAACCCGTTGCAGCCTTGATCAGTTTTTCTTTTCCTTTTTTTGTATGCCTGCGGTTATTTAATATAATTTTAAAGTCATTACCGAAAATTGTTGTCAATTTGTATTATTTTTTACACAGGCCTTTATTTTAATTAAATGTTTTTTTTGTTTTCTTTTACATGTTTTTTAACAACTTCAGTTCGAACTCTTCTACGAACAACGAACGACTCACCACCAAAAACCAACTGCAAGATCAAAGCATCAAAGCAAAAGAAATATTCTCAAATCATTTAAACGGACTTTGGACTTTTCCTCTTTTCTCAATTCTCTCTTGCATAATAGCGTTATTTACGGATAGAAAGAGTTATGAATAGAAGTTCTTCATAACGGTAAGCTATTACTGTGATATTTCCTACTCTATTGGGATAAAGCAGTGATCAAAGTAGACCAATGGAATCCCTAAGCTTCAAATGTACGCGGACGCTACAAACCACAATACAATATGATATCTTTATATTAAATAACGATCCTGTGCACCTGTACACGTAATCCTTCGATCTGCTAAAAACCTATTGTTTGCTCATTTTTCTTTTACACATATTTACTTTCTACCAGTAGAAATATTGAAACAAATTTTCATCAAGTAGATTGCGATTTGTAACATTTGAATTTTATGTTGTACCATTGGTTACAAATGCAATCCAGTAGCATTGTAGTATGTAGGGTTGTTAAATTCAACGACGTTGAATGATAGTCTGAGAGAAAGGTTGGTATGCCTGCGAGAAAAAATTTACAAAATCGAGCAAAAATTGCAGATTTTGACGCGGAGAAAAGAAAAAAACCAAAACAAAAAAAAACTTTTTTTAAATGTGAAGTGAATAGAAAAGGAAATGAAGTAAATAACGGCTTGCTAACCAGATCCATAAACAATAAATGTTCTTTTTTTTAAAGTTATTTTTAAGAAGAACTATGGTTGAACTTTGTTAATAAATGTTAACAATGTAATACTAAAAAAAATTCCCCAATGTACAAACAACTTGAAAGGCATACGTCAATGTGAAGTGAGTTCAATCTAGTGAACTTCTTTATTGAAATACTTTCTCAATCTTTATGTTTATAATTAAAACTAGCAGAAATATATGATCATAAGATCAAATTTGGTAAAATAAGTGAAGAGACATTAAGTTTAAAAGAAACCTGATCAAAATCATTCTGTTGTTCTGCTTAATAATGATTACTGTCTTTTTGCACATTTGTAATCTTTTATAAATTGCAACAGTCATTTTTATGATCATACCGATTATAGCTCTGAACGCGACTATGGTTGTCATGTTTGTAATTACTGTGATCGTTACTTATAAGTGATAAATAATCGAAAATTAGGGGGTTATCATCTAAACTGACAATTGTCGCCGTGATTATTGCCGTATTTTTTTGGGGGAAAAATGATTGTCGCCAAGAGACTAATCATGATGCACCATTGTCATCAACTTTCCAATATTCCCGTCAAATATTTCAGTAGTATTAAATCAAAGAAAGAGGAATGAGAGGCAAATTGTCGTTAGTTTGCTTTGTATAAACAAGCCATATATAGTAATCAGTAGCAGGCATGCAAAATAAAGGTAAAAGAAAATGACGTGGAATTTGCGTTAGGCTATGAATTTGAATGTTGATGTGATCTTAATGGACTTACAAGACTTTACATTTAATTCCTGGGGATGATTAAAGGACAAGATCCAGTACATAAAAAGCCTATTTTTAATCAAAGTAGGAAGTAAAAGTTTTAACTTTTATTTTAATTTTATGTAAATTTTTGTGCGACTTATAGCTTCAAAAACTGGTTATATTGTTACGGAAATCCCAAATCCAGTTCATTCCAGCTAATTGAATAATGAATTCCCCAGAAATGCAGCTGCCGGCTGATGAAAACGATTAGTGCAAAATAGACAGGGAAAACCAAGTGCACTTTCGCAAGCGCATTATGCAACTGCCGGCCGAGGAAAACCAGTATCAGAAAAGCAGGTTAACCAATTAAAAATGAAACTATAGAATTAGATACTAGTAATATAATGTTAAAAATGTGTATAAATAGAATATTTGTGGAAGGTAGAGTTAGTAGAAAAAGAATATATAAGTTGAGCAGTTGAAAGTATTGCCAAAAATAATTTGTGAATAATCCTACATTTAAAGAAATATAATTGTAAATAAAAGAACTTTGAAATGTGTTTCTCTTGATCAAAATGTCCACGATCCAGTGATACGAACTGTATCTTAGAAAAGCGAATTTTATAATAATATTTTAAAGTTGTTGCAATGTTTATATGTATTGTGGCAGCAATCCTTTAACTTCCTAACCCAACTGCATGAATTGAGGTACTTGCATACCGCTATCAACGCCACCCATAACGATGTAATGGGAAGCCGTTTTTAAAGTAGGGAAATTTTGCACAATTCTACATACTAGATAAGATATATTTATACGTCGTTTGTAAATATTGGAAACAATTTACTTACTCGTTTTGAGGTAGCGATAAGAGGTCAGACATGTCCTCCAAAGTCTTTCTTGCCCGTCCCATGATGATTTTTTCTTGGGCATCGCGGTTAAATTTGTCTTCCTCTTCAATGAATGAGCATAGAAGGAATCTGCGATTTATTGTGCTATAAACGTACATATTGGTTAACATTCCTTAACTTAGCCCGATATTTTAAAAAATTGCACTCACTTTTGCCAAAATTGTTGTTTTTTCTTGACAAATTTAATTTCGGATACAGTTTAATTTTCAAAATGGAAAATAACTGATTTCCTACAAGCGTTCTATATGTTTCTTTTAAAGTTTTTCTTCAGACGCAACCCTAAAAGAAAGATTTGAGGTAACGTTCATTGGTTTATACCGAATATTAATGCGAATTTGCTTAGATGAATAGATGTTATTGGCGACTGTCGTCTATTTAATTGTCGTCTGCTTAAGTGATTGTCCACCAATATTTTGAGCAATATTTTTTTGTTGATTCTTAAATCAAGTTTTTTGTCAAATTTACAAGGATTCTTTCATAGATGATTTAAGAAATAAATTATAAATTCATTTTTCAGTATGACCACGTCTAGTCCTAATTATAAGTTAGAATAAAAAGTATAGAACTTTGAATACAAAGATATTGAAGAATTTTTTTTCACTATAAAAATCTTTAAAATAAATGTAACAATAATCCCTTTTTTAAACCAAAAAAAAAAGTAGTAAATTAAATACTTATTTTTTTGTGCGGAGAATAGATTACAGGGGTCGTCGAATCCAATTTTATGGTCTTGCATATAAAATTTTTGGCTAAAGGAGAGCATAGTAGGGCAGAATGTAGAGTGGACCTTGGGCCTTCCAATAAGTAAGTTTCGTCCGTGCTTCTTTGGTGGAACAGCCTATTGAGTGTCTGTGGAGTGAAAGTTAAAACCTTTTATTACTTCTGAACTAATTAGCTTATCAATGACATATGTATCCATACGTTTATAGCTTCGAATCTTTACAACTTTTTTCACTTTTTAGGTCATGTAAAAATCTACGCGATTTTTTCCGCGCGATGGTGTTAGTGCTTATAATGCGGATAACACACAATTGATTGTCTCAAACGAACATGTGCTTGAAAGGTGATATTTTAACTTAAATTTTTTGTAAGGACAGTCTAACTCTTTGCTCGTATAAAAAGTTATGTTAGTTTGAAAACGAGTGAAATATCTGAAGAAATACACTATGCCTTGCTTTTTTACTATAAACCAAGTTAAATGCTGCAAACATAAAAAATTAATCTGTGAAGTGTACGGTAAAAACGCAAACACGAATGAAGGCGCCAGAAGTGGTTTTCCCGATTCCCTTCCGGAAAGTTCGATACAAGAGATGCACCTCGTTCTGCCCGAAAAGACGATGAAATTTTGCAACTGGTGGAGCAAGACCTGCTGTCAGGAATAGCGGAGGCACCAAACGTCAACGGCATGTCAGCTTAGAATTAATTGTTACAAAACGCATTTCGAAACCGCGGAAAAAGCAGCAGTGACATTTTATATGATCTAATGTGTAGTTTTTCTTTAATGCTCAATAGGAAATAAAATGTTCAGACTAAAAGACAATCCTTTGTTACGCAAAATTGGCGCGCAACGCCCATAAGATAACAGAGGTTCAGATAAGCGGGCGTCTTATATTATAGGCTACATAATCGTTTTGCACCGTCACCTATACGTACAATTTACAGTAGTAATAACAATATTAATAATAATTATAATTTGTACAATATCCAAAATTAACAAACACTTTAAAAATTATGTGAGAGGTAAAGTTAGAATAGCGACAGCATATAGCATTTTTTATAGGAATGAAGTTGGTGATGCGTGGGTTTCTTTTGGTTTTTTGGAAGAGGGGCCCCGTGCCTTCCATCGATTTAAACATTCTTCTCTACACAAATTGTGTTTGCGAAGAGGCCAGCTTTGTCGTTGTTTTGCCCCCAACTGCGTCGGTGGAAACCTGGCCTGTTATGGTTAGGAGCAGTAGTAATTTCGAAAGTGCTTGAAAGGTAGTAAATAAGTTTGCGGAGCAGGTCGTTCAGAGGTTGGATGTTCGGGTCTGCATAATTAATCTAATCCACTCGAGCGGCATTGTTGTACGCATGGTGTTCGCAGTTGAAAAAGCCATAATCGTGATCAATACGAAGTTCGGGGAAGCCGGGTTCAAAGTGTCTGCTCAAGACAAGGTGGACTCGAGGATTATTGTTCCACCGATTGTCCTCCCGAAAATTAGTCCATGTCATTTCATAAAGTACGTGTACAAGATGAATCTCAAGGTTCTTTTCTCTTCACATGAGGAGTTCGATAAAAAGGTTCGCTTGATTTCCAAATCGTAGGCAGATGGCGGTAAGGACACCAATATAGTTCTAAAGGCAACCAACGAGACAATGAAGGTTTTTTTCACTCTTGCAGGATGTACGCTGACTGGATGTCATTCCGAGTACGTCCTTTCGACGAGGTTGCGAGCTATTTCCGCTGCTTAAGTAATGACCACAAATTTGAGGACTTTAGAGTCAAGTGTGTAGACACTGTGGTCGAATTTGCCATAGTTACGGTGTGTGTGCGAACGCCGCACGCTGTTAATTGCGTGTTCAGGGGTTTTCCTGCTGGACAACTAATTATGTCTACAGCGCGTTTTGAGTACAGCAGCGCGAATTATTGCTCGACATTACCCTGGATCTAATGCTGAAATATAACTGCAACAGCAATTATCATGCGATGTGTGAGTTGGGCCAAAGTATGAGCGAAATGGGCAGCCGTTTTGAAATAATGCAAAAACTCGCGGGCCGGGCTAAGTTTAGAGGCTTGCCCATGGACATGCGGGTATTTCTTGACACTAGTAGCCACTCAACTGTCATTGTTAATGATGTCAATCTGGAAGCCACACTTCGGCTTGTTAATAACCATGGTGTCTGTTTCTCTTTGAATTCTCACATGGGGGGCTGCCTCTTGCTACTCTCTACTCTAAGTTTAATAAGGAACTGGATGGTTACCATAGGAATAAGGGTTCGCTGTTACTACCTGCCAGTGGCACCCTATTGATCCTGGGGGTGGACACTAACGCTTGCTAACCTTTATGGTTTAGCAAAACATTAGAATGGGTTTCTGGGTTGCGCAAGTGAAGAGGTGCCCGAATCGTGCATAGCAGTTGGAGCTAATCACATTGATGTTACTATGGCGAATAGGAGAGTTTTGGGAGTGTTTAAATTTTCCTGGAAGGTAGGGTGTTAGCGATCACAATGTAATTAAATTGTTAACTGACTATTCCCGTCCTGAGCCCATCCAGCCAACCGTCAAATTTTGGCGTTCTGATGAGGTAAATTGAGGTACCTTCGGCGTCAATATTAAGAGAACAGTTACCCATGGCCGCGTAGCGTTTTCGAGAATAAATCTTTGCATGAGAAAGCTGACCTTATCGCTAAATCAGTGTAGACATGCGGATTGTCTGGCAAACGTAGAGCAGTTCGCAAACAAACAATTCCTACGCGCGGGATGATCCAATGCAACTAATGTATTGAAGCTGACGACTGAACTTAGGCATGCCTTAGCGAATACAAGCGAACGCTTGTCACGACGAAAGAGAATGAACGGAGAGTTTTTGTCTCTAAGAATCACGATAACCATTGGTGTCTTGACTTAGAAGTATTGCATATTTGTAATGCCTTTAGAATAAGTAAGTGCAGCGGGAGTGACACTTTGTCACTCCGTGTCACAACAGGTGGAGTAAGGTTGAGCTTTCACGGTTGCTACCGACATACATCCCTTATCACATCTGTGGCTCCGATTTTTTTTTTTTTTTTAGGAAAGAAAAAGGTATTAAGAATTATGTTTAGAAAATAAGGGATACTAATAAAAATCTATGGCTAAAAGTTCCTTTGCACCGCAGATCATTTTCGAAAATGCAGAGTATATGAATATAGTGTTCCGAATAGCATTGTTATTGCTTTTGTGAATTAGCGAAAAGAATGATGGTTATTCCTTTGTTTTGCAAACAAGAAAAATATTGGATAGAAGCTGTCTATAAATCGAAAAAAAACTGGAACGATTGTAAAAGTGAACAGCAGAACAATAACAAAAAACTTGTGCATCATTTATGTGTATTATATGTACTGTGTTATCGTAAGAAATCTATATGGAAGTAGAGAGAAATTACGTACGTGAAAAAGATAGCTTACGTTTTCGTTTTTCGCATTGTTTGGGAACGCGTATGTGATAGCATTCTGCTTTTTTTAATGACTATGAGATTTGTGGAATCACATGACTACTACAGCTGTTAAGAATAGTTTTTCATATTACTCAAAAGGAAAGGAACCTAAGTTTTGCGCTACAATTGTGCTGTATTATTGGTTGTTTAGACTTGCACTTATAAAAGAAAAGAGCTGTAAATTGAAAAAAAAATAAATTCCCAACAAATTGTTAATTTACAGACAGCTGAACCAAAAGAAGTTAATAAACAAAATAAATAAATAACAAAACAGGAAATTCATGACCAAAAAAGGATGAGTTCACATGCACAATTTGCACAAAAAGTAATTTTTTCCTTTAAGATTTTCGCAACATTTTTTGAATGGACATATAAGCCATATTTTTTATTGGCTCAGAACATTTTACTTTGACAAAAAACAAAAAAAAATTGAATATATGAGAGGTAAGTAATATATTGTTAAATGTTAATAAGTAGTCAATTTGTGTTAATCAATATATAAACGTTTATCCAAGCTCCTCCTCATCACTCGAAAAATCACTTCAAACCTCTGTTGGAAGTGCCTTCAATTATTGAAGCTGAAGCACTTTATAACTCTTATTTTAAAAAAATCGTATGTGTTTTATGGCGGCGACTCATGAAATACGATTGTTGCTTCTATTACTTATTTATTTAAACAAATAGCAGTCGAGTTCATTTGGCACTTAAAGCAAAACTTATATTAATCAATATTAAAAATTAGTATAAGTACAATAAAACAAAGCATGTACCAGCATAGAAACACACTTATAAGCGGTACAGGACCAAATTGCAAATGAACCCCTAAACCATCGCAAACATGGATAAGCTTGGCAACCGATAAGAGTTAACAACATTTCACTTTCGAATCGTAACGACTTTTTAAGGTTAAAAAATAGTTTAAGTACGACATAGGTAAATCGCGCGTATTAAGCGATGTTGCGGTCGATGGACTTTAAAGAGTCCGATAATGATAATAAGTGATAGACGTCTGTAGCGTTATCGATTTATCGTCACCTACCCATTCAATAATGATTTATGCTTAGTTCACACTTTATTATATTTCCACATAATGCAAACCTAATT